TTACTTATTTACTAATATGTGCCCCAAGCTGGATTTTACTTCTGTATATCTTTGGTTTAGGGTTTCCCCATACCCTTAAGGTTTTTGGATTTATTTTTCCACAGTGTTTCACAAAGGAGGTAGGGAAGGGTGGAATGAGTGTATCAGGGTTTGTTTTAAGGGAAAGGAGAAGAAGTTTTCCAAGCTACATGTTTCCCTTGTCCTTTCTCATAGAGTTTCTGTTGTAAAGTTCTTTTCTTCTCCCCCTTACCCACCTCCCCCTAAGTTCAGAATCACACTCTTCATAATAAAGCTGTTACTGAGAAATTCTTGTACACATGAACAAATGCGTGGACAGGACAAAAGCCCGAGAACTACTGTTCTGAAGAGGTTAAAGTGTTCTAAAGGAATCACTGGAAGAGACTAACAGACAGGTAAAATCTATTTGCTTTATCATCACTGGCAAATAAATAAACCCACTCAGAATAAGCTATGCATCTTGGGGAAGAAAATGACCTGTGATTGCCAGCATACCTAGGAAGGGATTTCTTTCTTTGAAGCTTGAGTGCATGTAGTCTTTGTTGCTTTTACAACTTATCAGTGTCTTTAAAAAAATGAGTTTTGTCATGTATCTTTTTTCCCCTAACTGCTGCAGTGAGAAAGTTGTCCTGCCATGACCTATTATATTCTACTTGGAAGCAAAAGTTAGTCCTATTGATTCTAGTTTCAAAAAATGTCTCATTTCTGCCCATTTCTCCCTGTCTTTACCTCCAACACTCTTGGCCAGCTACACATCATCTGTCAAATTAATTGCTGCAGTAGCTTAACCTGTTTGTTTCCCCACTCCCACACAATTTATTTTCCTTAGAGCAGACAAAGCAACTCTTCAATAATCGTTACTATTCTCCTCCCTTAAGCTTACTACCCCAGTCACACTGGCCTTGCTGTTCATTAATCACATCTAGCCCGTTCCCTCTTTCGGGCTCCAACATGCTCTTGCCTCTTCTCTCACATGAGTGGCTCTTTCTCATTGTCCTGTTCTCAGATTAAAAATTTCCTCATCGGAGGTGCCCTCCCTCATGTCATATCTCATTGTTCCATTTTCCTCATTGTACTGTTCACTACTAGTAGTTAAATATTTGTTTGTTAACCTGGTTATTACTCATGTTCTCATCTATCCTGTAAGTTTCACAGGGGCAGGGTCTGTGTTTCCTTTATAGTTATATACCACTGCTTAGCTTAGTGCCTAAACCAAGTAGAAGCTCAACAAATACTTGTGAAATAAATGAAATTCACTGAGCTCTGGTCAGTGGGCAGGACTGATGGCTGCCATGTATAATTTTCTTGGATGGTGATGTTCTGAGACCTGATTCAATTGGAGGAAGATAAGTGAAAGTTTTTTAATGGGACTTTTGGAGGGCTGTTTAGGAACATGTATCAGAATTTAAATTGGACACACACTTTGACCCAATTCTTGAACATTTCAGAAATCTATCCTATGGAAGTATATACCTGCACCTAAAGATGTAGATAAATAAATAATGGGACATACATACTATGGAATCATATGCAGACCTTTGAAAGAAAGAGGTACACTTATAAGTACTAACATGAAAAATCTGTGAGACCTTTTATTAAGTATAAAAAGTACAATGCAGAAATGAACTTATCATGTAAGTTCATTTATGTGAAAACCTCTGTTATGTGTATATGTACCTATGTATTTTAACTGTATAGAACAACAACAAGAGAGAAATGCAGACTATTCATTATTATTACAGGGACATGGGTTAAGAGGCAGTAGAGGGAAACTAGCATGTTTTTGTCTTTTATATTTATGTATTTTTTATACAATAAGTGTATGTGTATGTGCTATGTAATTAATTTTTTTAATTAAAATTTTCACAAGTCATAGTTGAAGGCTGTCTGTCAAAAAAGACAGAAACATTAAAAAGTGGTCTATTTGGTTAAATCACCTTGCTTCTGGCCCATCTTTGCAGGCCCAGAAACCACATTTTACAGTGCAATCTGTGTGATTGGGCTGTTAGACACTAATTCACATTGACTAAATTTAGAAGAAATTGATTAACATGGATTTCAATATCTTAATTTCAAATGAAAAAGAGATCTTCACAACGACTGACATACTCATGTCTACCATCCAGGGCAACCTCTTCCCAGTGCCAGAGTGAGTATAATTTAGCCAGAAGGTTATTTGATGGACAGAAAATTATAGCCAAAAGAAATGGGTAGACTTGGGAGTATTCAGTTATGACTTCTGTGACTTTTTCCTTTGTTTTGCCTGGCGTGTAGTCTACTACTTGATTCTGCAAAATTCCCTTACTCTGCTTCTTGGATGTTGATTTAACAGAATGGAGATGACTAGTGGGTCTTTGCAAACCTTTGTATATGATTATGCTAAATACACTAAAACAATTAAAGAAAATTGTTGGTGTTTTATCCGTGCTGAATTAGTAATATTAAACCACAAAAACTTAGATATTCTTTCTTAGGGCATTAATGAAGGCATGTTAATTTGTTTTGTTTCATGTAATATACAAGCCATGATTAACACTTCACCTGCCCACCCTAGGATGCTCTTTCAACAATGCTTTCCTGACTTTATGAATTGTTAAGTCCTGCTTGTGAGTTCTGAATAAGAGAGTAACTTAAATGCTTATAACATTTAAACATCTTTCATTAGCTACCCAGCTGTTTCCTGATCCCTCCCAAATGTATGCAGTTGTTTGCAAGGTCTTGATAGTTATGATGATTTCATGTTCCAGACATTAGAACAGATGTCTAAAACCATCGTCAACTATCTCCTGACTTTTTCTTTCTCCTTGGATTCGTAGTCAAACCTTTATTTCTACTCTGCTGTTCATTTATCCATTTTTATCCCCAGCCCTAGTCCTTACTTCTAATAATCCCCTAAAAGAGAAATATTAAAATTTAAATTAAATTTAAAAGGCAATATGGAGAAGTAAATCTCAACACACTAAAATTTTAAGTCCAGTGAACAAACAATTTCAGAAAAATAAATCACTTCCTGAATCACACTATATTAAATCTAGATTTGCTAGTTTGCTCTAAAATACACTGAAGAAAATCATTTTAAACCAAGGGATGGATTAACTATATTAAATATATAGGCTCAATCTTAGCTTCTAAGACAATGTGCAGCTTGATTTACAAGTAATGAAGAAACATTCATTACAAGTGTTTACTCTTGATCATAGAGCCAAGAGTTCATCTAGAATGTGAAATGTCTTTTTGTTTTTTTTTTTCTTGTCTTTTAGAAAGGAATTGTGCTGAGGTGAAGAACATTTGAGTTAACTTTAAACTACTAGAATCTATAGTATACACTTTAGTACTCAATAAACATTAGAAAGAAAAGAAACAACTGATAAAAAGTCCTTATGAATTTTTTGTTTTAATCTGGTCTTCCAAAGGTTTGATCAAAGGGAGATAATGAAATTCCAGAAAAGCTTAACAATGTTCCCACAGGTGAGGACACAGCCAGCTTGCTTCTCTGGTCCTTTTTCATTTCAAATGGTCACTGGAGGAGAAGGGAGGAGGGACAGGTGGAACGTTGCAAAGGCAGCATATTTCAGGGCCCCCCATGTAAGAGAAAACCATCTTATACTCTCTGTCAATACTGATTAGTATTAATATCCCTCATTTTGCTTTTTCAAAGTATTTGGGAAACTATATAAAGCTGGAAAAGAGCTTAAGAAAATATGATTATCTATATTCTTACTTTAAAATATTTTCCTCGTCTTAGAAAAATATTGACCACAAAATTCCTTCATTATAATGATGAAAAATATGAAATACTTAGGAATAAATTTTAAAAATGAGCAGACTTTATTTGAAGAAACTTACTATCACATCATTGCCTTAGTTATCTAGTGCTACTAGAACAGTAATACCGCAAGTGGATGGCTCTAACAAATGGAAATTTATTCTCTCACAGTTTAGGAGGCTAGAAGTCCAAATTTATACCACCAGCTCCCGGGGAATGCTTTTTCTCTCCGTCAGTTCTGGGGGAAGGTCCTTGTCATCAGTCTTCCCCTAGTCTAGCAGTTTCTTAGTACAGGGATCCCAAGTCCAAAGGACACACTTCATTCCCAGCATCTCTTTCTTGGTAGCATGAGGTCCCTGTCCTCTCTGCTTGCTTCTCTCTTTTATATCTCAAAAGAGATTGACTCAAGATACAACCTAATATTGTAGATTGAGTCCTGCCTCATTAACATAACTGCCTCTAATCCTGCCTCATTAACCTCATAGAGGTTAAGATTTACAACACATAGGATAATCACATCAGATCACAAAATGCTGGACCACCACACAGTACTGGGAATCATGGCCTAGCCAAGTTGATACACATTTTTGGGAGACATGATTTAATCCATAATAATCATGTTCTTGAATGATTGTTTAAATATAATAACCTCTGACTCCTTTTTTTTTTGTTTGTTTGTTTAGATTTGGCTTTGGTTATGTGTTAGTGGTAATGTTTGAAAAAAAAATGATTAAATTCCCCTGGAATAATACACATATAAATAGAAAACCTTGGGAAATTAGATATGAATGAAGGTGTGCCTTACCACATATTAAAAAATAACTAAATGGGAGTGGACAGCCCTGTAAAACCAAATGAGACTAACGAGGTACAGGAGTCCAGTGACAAGGGCCAGAAACCAGAAGAGGACAAGGAAGCTGGTGATAGGGAACCCAAGGTTGAGTAAGGATGTTGTTGATGTGTCGTGAGATTGTTAACCATTGTCATAGGGCAACATTTGTAGTAACTGTTAAATGTGAAACTATTTTGTTCTGTAAGCCTTCATCTTAAGTGAGAATAACAGCACAATTGGAAGAGCGTAGTCAATGTCACTGAACTGTGCATGTAGAAATTTTTGAAATGGTGTATCTTTGGCTATGTGTATTTTCACCAAAAAAAAAAAAAAAAGAGGTTGAGAAGTTAGAGGGTTGATATGTTGTGGGGTTGTTAACCAATGTCATAAAACAACATGTGTACTTCTGTTTCATGAGAAACTATTTGTTCTGTAAGCCTTCACCTGAAGTAAAATAAAAAAAATAAAATAAAATAAAATAAAAAAATAACTAAAGTATTATGGTACTGATACCAGAAGACAAGTCAATGAAAGAGCAGGAATAGACCTAAGAATATGAAAGAATTTGATATATGATAAAGAGGATTTTTATAATCAGTGGTCAAAGGATGGAATATCCAGCAAATAATCAGTCAATAAATCATCAGAACAATTGGTTAAAATTTGGGAGACAAATTTTAGATAAGATATTCTTATACCTAAATTAATTTGAGATAATTAAAAAATGAGACCAATACAGTGGCTACTTTCATAATTTTCAGGTTGGAAGTCTTTTCTGATCATTACAACAAAGGCAGAAACCACAAGGGAGGAGTGACAAATTTAAAAGTATTTCTATAAAAACAACAGAAAAAAAATCAAAATACAAATGACAAGCTAAGAGAAAAACATCAACATTTTTATAGACAATGTTAATATCCTTAATATGTAAAGAACTCTTACAAATTGATAAGAAAAAAAATAGAAAAGGAATGTGAGTAAGCAATTTACAAAAGAAGAATTACAAATTGTCAATAAACATGGAAAAACAATTTATCAGTAAATTAAGAAATACATAGTTGAAATTGGCAAATAGGAATGGGTATACTAGAAAAGAAATGAAGCTCAATGTTTGCATAAGCATGGGAAATTAGATATTCTCTTAAAGTATTAGCGAAAATGTAAATTACTACAAATTTTCTGGAGGTACATTATGGTAAAAGCTTCAAAATATGAACACCTTTTAATACAGCAATCAATTCCTTTTCTAAGCATTTAGCCTAACGAAGTCAGACAAGTACCCACATGTGTGGAGACGCATGCTCATCCCAATGTTATTTGTAAAAGCAAAAAACAGAAGTTGGAAACAAGCTGACTGTATTTCAAAATTATTTAAATAAATCTGGTATAACCATTATTGAGATGCTCTGAAGACATTAAAAATTATGATATAGAACTATATTTTGTTATATTTAAATGTAACTCAATATACTGTTACGTGAAAAAAATTTAAACAATATGTATAAAATAATACCTCCTTTCTTTGTAAAAACAATGAAGCAGCTGATATATGTACAGGGACATGTGAGGAAAAATATTTAGAAGGATATATAAAAAATTGCTAATAGTGATTATCTCTGGCTATTGGCATTTTAAAATTCTTTTTGATATTTGTCTAATTGTTGCAAAGGACATGTATTATTTTTATAAAAAAATTTTAAAACTAATAAAGTTATTTCTATTTGGAAAGAAAAAAAAAAAAACCTGAGAAGATTATCCTGCTGCCTTCTCTTAGCAATGTGTTTTAATGTCTCCCACATCTTGCAATCAGAAATGTCTTCCAATTACGGGGCACTTCACATTGCTGAGAAATTTAACAACAAAAAAGTTGTTGACTTTTATTTTTCTTCCAATGTGTTCCAGAACATACTTATGCTTAAAATAAAAGTGTTTATTTCCCTGAGTATAAAGTGTTGTTGATAAAGTTGTGAATCTGCTATCAAGCCCGATTTGCAAACTCGATTTTATTTTACATTTTAATACTTAGGCAACTTTTAAGTGAATTCAAATAACTAGTTTTCACGGCATTACATTTGTTGTGCAGGATTAGGTGCTCTGGATTAGAAGTAAACCACCATTCCACTAACAAACTAGCCGACCACCACTCCGCCATATCGCCCTGTGTCAGGTGGGGACCTTGTTTTCTTCAACAACCATCACCAGTAAGAGCTGAATCAGTGAGCTAGATAATAGTCCAGCTAATTTATAGGATCTTTCTTTGCTCGAATCAATCCAAACAGTCTGACGGGATCATCATGAATGTTTTCCTCTACTTCCTGGCCTCCCGGTGGGAGACTGTCTAGCAAAGTGGTCTTAGAAATGCTGGCATCCAATGCACGGAGTTGCTCATCTTCATCTTTGTGTGACACAGGAACGTCCTGCTTCCTGGGCTTTCTGAGCTTCGCCTTACAGCTGTGATTTAGTGCCCCGTAGCACACCTGCGGTTCAGTGGCTGCCTAAAAAGAAAGGCATGTTAATTTTCCATTGCCAGTGGTGTCACTACCGAGGCACGGGGGAGTGCGGACGGTACTGGCGACACTTTGGGGGTGGGGGGTGACACCAGAATCAGTGTCTATAAAATTTTTGTGCAGTGTTTCAGCAGAAATATATTATTTTTTATAAAAATATCCCTGTAGTTAGTTATAACAACAAAAACATTTTTCGTAAACCCAGCTTACATGTATCAATATACCTACAAGGCTAAAACTCTATGCTAATTTACTTTTTGAACCTTCTAATGCACTCTGATCAGAGCTGTCATTATTACCCAATTACAATGACACTTCGAATCACATGGTTTTGTCTGCCTACCAGCTACAAGCATGTGCTGTTGTTTTCCTTGCTGCTGGTATTTTTATAGTTGCAGATTTTGTCAAATTTTCTGGTGTTTTAGCTACAATACTGTCGTAATTGGTATTTGTGAATCTATATCAATCACTTTTTTGAGAATTAAGTAGTAATTAAAGGAAAAGGAGAAAAATCAAAAAGCTTTTGCTCAGTTACTAAGAATGTTGTAATTCAATGTAAAAAGATTTTACAAAAGAATGTTGTTTTAGTATTCATATAATCTAAGAAATATTGTATTTAAGCAATTTACAACTGTATTTATCACATATTATTCTATGATTAAAATTGATAATAAACATTACTAAGGATTCCGTAAGGTCTGGTAAGGGGAGAGGGCTGTCTGGGGGTGACACCAGCCCTAATGGTGCCACTGTTCATTGATAGCCCATTCTTTAGTTGTGATGGCTTCTGGGAACTTCTATGACCTATGTAAAACAAGTAGCTTGTTTTCTGAGTTTCAGCTACCTTAGTTTGCCAGATATGTCCTTAGGATGACAGGAAGAAAACAATACTCAACTCAAGAAATTTGAGTGGAAAACAAAAATGCTTAGATGAAACTTTTTCCTGTACTGTTACTGCTTTCGTAAACTTAAAATGCACTTGAACATTTTAGATGAACTCTGACCTGCTCGCACCCCTACTGCCACCTCAGGTAGCTCTGCCCCTATGTTACTGTTACCGAAGAGCAATGTTCAGTTTGTTAACCTGTGAATAAACAGACAGGAAGGACTTTAACAAACACGGGGTCTCCTCTACATATGCTTAGGAACTGGTCACTTAATGGTACCTGTAAAAATCCTCAATTTTTCTACATTTTTAGAGCTTCGGAATTATAAAGATAACAGTATCCATTAACTTGACAAATACAGCAAATAATTAAATTTCACATCTTTCCCTACTGTTTCCTCCTAGCTTGCCTGCCCCCAGATTCCATTTGAGCTCATTTTAGGTTGGTTTTGGAGATACCCATTTACATCCAAGAGGGCCTGGTGGTTTTCTCTGGCTGTAGCTGTTGTTGGGTGCCATTGAATTGATTCCAACTGATAGCCACCCCATGTGACAGAGTAGAACTTCCTCATAGGGTTTTCTTGGCTGTAATCTTTATGGAAGCAGATTTCCAGGTCTTTCTCCTGTGGAGTTGCTGGGTGGGTTTGAACCACCAACTTTTCAGTTAGTAACCAAGTGCTTAACCATTGTGCCATCACGGTTCATTTTCTCTCTGGCCTAGAGCTGGTTCAATACCAGTTTAAGAAGGTTAAGACACTAGGGAGACTCAGGGATGCAACTGGCATGGAGGCAAGATCTTTAATTTCGTGTTGGAAAATTTAGGATTGAAACCCAGCTGTGTCAAATACAGACCATGGGACTGTGGGCCTCAGTTTTCTTGCCTGTAAAACGGGAGTAGTAGTACCTATCTCACAATGTTGTTGTTTAATTAAATAGAGATAATTAATATATATGAAAGCTATAACCACTGCCCAAAATTAAGGTAGTATTATAATTGTTAGAAGTTGTAGGCTAAAACTTTAGGACAGTCATTGAATAAACCTAAAACTTCTGTGTAAAAGGTTTATGTTTAAGTGTAGGTCAAAATTATATCAATGGCAGGAGGTGGGGCGATAAGGCAGTATCATTGGATTAACAAAATACCTAATGCATCAGTAACAGCTCCTTGTTGGCACTCATTTCCATGCGAAGAGTCAAAAGCCTTATATTCTCTACCAAGCATAAGAGATGGTTCTATTTACAACCTCTCTGGTACCTTTGTCTGGTGTTTTACTCCTAAAATAATCATCTCTGGAAAATTATAATAGCTTCCTAATTAGTGTTTTTGCCTCCAGCCCCTTCCCTCTGCCATTGATCCTATATACCGTCTTCAAACTTTGTTCCTAAGAACTTTTATATCTTCACCATCATGTTCCAAAAAACTTCAGCTTACATACTAGAATCTGAATTTTATATCCCACCATTCAAGGTTTTCCATATTTAACCTTTTCAATTTTAGTTTCCATTGCTTCCCTGCATAAAGTGTGTGTTCCAGGCAAACTGGACAATTGGCTGTTCTTGTACACACCTCGTGCTTTTACCTGTCCTCCCTTTGCTCAGAAAGATAGAGAAGGAGATGTCAGTGATGTTCAAAACAACCAAAACACACTCACTCAGTAGTACCTAGGGTGATGTCTTTGTTGTCTTTCCTGTACTTTGTTCCATCCCTCTTTCTTTTATAACTTCCCTCTTTTCCTCTGGAAATCCCTCTCCTCTGTCTGGTCCTAGAGAGTCTGTCAATTACAGTGCTGTAACCCCAACCAGCCAGGATGAGGCATGTCACCTGGACTAGTTACAGCACCCATCCTCCCTAGTAACACAGATTGGCCCAAGAATGAACATGTGACTTAAGCAAAGCTAATTAGATGACAGAGCCCTGGTGGCGCAGCAGTTAAGAGCGTAGCTGCTAACCAAAACGTTGACAGTTTGAATCCACCAGCTTCTCCTTAGAAACTCTATTAGGCAGTTCTATTCTGTCCTATAGGGTTGCTATGAGTCGGAATCCGCTTGATGGCAACAGATTTGGTTTGTTTGGTAATTAGATGACAATTCCCTGAGTGGTGCAAATGGTCAATGCTCTGGGCTGGTAATTGAAAGACTGGAGGTTCGAGTCTGCTCAGAGGCACTTCAGAAGAAAGGCCTGGTGATCTACTTCTGAAAAATCAGCCATTGAAAACCCTATGAAGCACAGTTCTACTCTGACACACATGGGGTCACAATGTGTCAGAGATGGCTCAATAGCAACTTTTTTGGTTTGTTTTAATTAAATGACGTCTTTGGGAGTTATATACAGATTCAGGGATAGAAAAGGTGCTAATTCCCTATGGTTGCTTGGTAAACCCAAAAAAAAACAAAAACTCGTCACCGCCAAGTCAATCCCGACAGAGTAGAACTGCCCCATAGGGTTTTCAAGCACGGCTGGCAGATTCAAACTGCCAAACTTTTGGTTAGCAGTCACTTAACCACCGTACCACCAGGGCTCCTTGGTGGAAAGCTGAAAATCTGGGTCTGCCGGTGGTTTGCTCACCTCATGGAGGAAGTCTGTGTTAGAAGAGAATAAAGTCAGTGACAGAAATACAGAGGAAAAAGAAAGATCGCCTCCATGTTCAGTCATCCCAAATTAAAGTACACCCTTAGGTCTCCCAGTATTATAAGCCAGTAAGTTCCCTTTTATGGAAAGTGGTTTGAATTGGGTTCTGCACTTATAACTGAAAGCATTCGGATATAATGCATGTCTGGTCAACAACTGATCAACTTCATCAAGTGCTGTAGCGTTCAAAGAACGTACATCCTGAGAAAGGACTGCAAAGTGGATAGCCACTTAAAACTTCCAGAGTGGGGTTTCAGCTGAGCAGACGGGTGGAAGACGTACTGCCAGAGGGAAAGAAATGTGTATCTATGGAAAGAAACGGAAACAATAAAGGAAGATGAGAACCAGTTTAGGAGTTAGAAGGAAAAAACAGGCTAAAGTAGGTTTTGGTGTTTTTGTTTTTGTTTTTGTCTTAAATATTGGGGAGATTGGTGCTTATTGGTAGGCGAATTACAATATCCATTTAAAGAAAAATTAAAAAATGGAGAAAAATTAAATAACTGAGGGCACAAGGTCCTAAAAGAAACAGGAGATGAGGTCAAGAGCTTAAAGAGGAGCATTAGCCTTGTAAGGGAGAGAGAATGCTGCTGATACAGGAGGCGTGGCGGAAATGGATTAATTTTTGACATAGAAATAAGGGAAGATGCAAAAACTCACACTCGTGCCTCAATTATTTTAGAACATTGGGGCTCTTGTGGACTCTCATTTCATTACCAGGTTCCCTGATTAATTCTGATTAATACTAGACCGAGATACTAAGATTTCAACTCTCAATCATACATATCATTTCCAATGGGCAAGAAGCTTATTTTAACTTTTTTTCCCAACAAATAAACACTTTATTGATCAAGCTGTATGTACAATGTTGTGGGTTCCTCATGCTTTTGTAACTGAGTAAAATAAAGTAAGGATTGTAATAGCAAATTGCGGAGTGTTTTTGATGATAATGATTATTCTAATCAAATGGAATTGAGCCAATATATTACTTTTAATCCATGAAACTAAATTTGTGAGAAAAGTATAATGTAATATGATAAAGAGCAGTTTTCTCAGAAGTATCTTTAAATATGTAATTTCTAAAATCACAGACTTTAAAAAACATTTTAAGGCTTGTATAGTTTCCACTTGAGTAGAAACCAGATGCAGCTCAAACGAAACTGATCTACACAATTCACATGTATTAAACAATAGCTTCTATTCAGAATTCTCAGTTCTTTTACCACTAAGGCACTGTGAATCTCTTCATCTCAGATGATGTGGTTATTTTAACCTTCTTTGAGAAGTTTTCTTTTGTAATCATAGACTTAGCAGATCATATTATATCATGCAGGTTTGCATACATTTTATATAAAAATACATTTTACAATTAACTGAACAACAGACCACAGATTTGCCTGTCAGATGGTGATTTTACAGTTTGCCTAAACCTCACCACATCTAGGTTTAAGACAAATTTCAAGAGGTCTGATTTCTTAGGGGATTCATGTAAAGAAAAAGAAAACAAATTCTACCTTAATGGGAAGTTTCCATGGTATGAGTCATCTTTGGGAGGAGAATGCTGTCTGTAGTTAGACAGGACTAAGTTTGGATTCTGTCTTCCCACAGAGTACCTGAATTTTCTAGGGCAAGTTATTCATCTTTTATCAGCCTTTGCAAAATGGGATGCTAACGCTGCCTGCCTCATAGGAATCAAAGTGGACAGCACATGTGTAGCACACAGCCCAGTGACCAACACACAGCTGCTCAGGAAACGCCAGCCTGTTATTATTTCTAGAGTAGGGAGAAAGGACATAACTAACGGGATGAGATCTTGGAGGAAAAGGAAGAACCATTTTAACTGAAATTTATAATACATCGGAAGCATGTAGGATAAGGATTTTGAATGGTGTTTAATGAAATCGTGCTATTGTCTGATAAATTGAACTGACTGTGGTAGGAGAAGAAAATACGCATTTCCTCTTGGGTTTTTATGTTTCCACTTAGGGTTTTGTCTTGCGTATTCTCACACAGGAGTCCCAGGGTGGTACAAATGGCTAACGTGCTGAACTCTTAACCAAAATGTTGGCAGTTTGAGTCTCCACACAGGTGCCTCAGACGAACGGTCTGGCGATCTACTTCTGAAAAATCAGTCATTGGAAACCCTATGGAGCACAGTTCTACTCTGACACACATGGGGTTGCCATGAGTCAAAATTGTCTCAACAGCAACTGGTTTCTCCCCATACAAGCTATGTGTATATTTCACAAGCTCTTGACATAAGACCACAGTCATAGAACTTGTATTAAAATTACACCTATTTGTCTTATAAAATAGGGTTCTGATGTTTTATATCCAGCTGCTTTCTTGCAGGAGCCCTGGTGGTGCCGTGGTTAAGAGCTTGGCTGCTAACCAAAACAATGGCAGTTTGAATCTACCAGCTGCTCCTTGGAAACCCTATGGGGCAGTTCTATTCTGTCCTATAGGGTCACTATGAGTTGGAATCAACTCAATGGAAAAGAGTTTTTGTTTGTTTAATTTCTTACAGAACGTTCCTCCTCTCTTCTTTCTCTTATCCTCTGCTCTCCTACTCTCCCCTTCCCTCCTGTCCCTCTCTCTCTCTGTCCTGAATTCCTAGATCTTGTGAGCATTATATATGTGTCAACTTTTATATTTACCTCTGTGAAGCACATACATTTTTCAATCTGAAAGAAATGGCTTAATTCATTATTTGAGAATATAGCCCACTTTTCCCTTTAAATCTATTACCTTGGTAAGTATACACAATTTTGACTCTTCACATGTGGTCCTGTTTACTTGTATTTGAGTGCATCTTTGAACTCAGGTCCCAGAACTTGCCGCCTGATTCAGAACATAAACTTTCTAACAGGCTGCATCAGAAGTGCATCAGAATTTGATGCTTTTATGCACTTGAAACATGATATTTGCTATGTATAGGCTGAACTTGGCCCTTGAGACAGAAAATAAAACGCACCTGTGCAGGTGGGGCCACTTCTTGCCGTTTATTCACAGATCTCTCTGGCCGGGCTTTCATTTGCTCATAGCAATTTTCATCTGTGGGTTCTCGGGAGTTGAAAAGATCATGATTTTACAGTAGGAAAACAAAGGTGCTGGCACAAATAAATACATGATCCAAACAACATTTAGCTGTTAATACAAGACCCTCAAGAATCACTTGACTAGTCCCTGTGGTGGAGAGGCAAAGAGGTAGTAAGCCCAAACTGTTCTTTGCAGGTTGAAAGGTGGAGAAGTCTTTCGCCCCACAGCATTAATAAGACAACAAAGAACGTCATTTGAGATAAAGACTAGATCACATTATTCTTTTCAGACCATTGCAAAACATGGCACTCTCAACTTAAACCACCCCTAGACGCCACAGAGACACCGTGAGTCAGAGGACTGCCTGCATTCTCTGCTGCCTAGGTGTGAGTGCCGACGGCTTGGGTGGCATGAAACACAGTGCACATACATCGATGATTACAATTTAGTAATTTGTCCTCTGAGTAAGAAGTTTTTCTCAGAGGTATTTTAAACCTGCATCCTGTTTTTGAAAAAGGGAGTTTAGATTATGATTTTGTCCCCTCATGGAACGACAGCTCGGCCAGGCTGACCGAAGGTCTGTGCCTGTGCAGTGTGGGTCTTAAGTGGGACTCTTGTGCAGGGTCCAGGCATCAGCAGACCTGCACTCACTCCACCCTGGGGGATGCTTATCGAATCTTCTGATGCCTTTCTGCCCCCAGCTACCCTCACTTAAAAGGGAGAGGAAAGAGGGCCAGTGACTTGTAGGATGGTCAGAATCGTGGCAGAAATGTGGATTGCACCAGTTTGATCCTATAGAGAAAAAAAGCAACACAGAGTAAGGGCCCATAGAGTCGGATTTCTCAAAGCATGGTCCTTGGAACTCCTGCATCAGAATCACCTACAAGGTTTGTTAAATAGCAGATTCCGAGACACTAGTTGGCAGTTTGAACCCACCCAGAGGCACCTCTGAAGACAGGCCTTGTGATCTGCTTCCAAAACGTCATGGTCTTAAAAACCCTATGAAGCAGCTCTGCTCTGAGTTGAAATCAACTCGGTGGCAACTGAAAACAACATCCTGGACCTTCTAAATCAGAATCTGTGGGGTAACACCTGTGCCCACTTGGGAATGGGAATTACAGGTACTGTGGGCTTCAAGTCACTGCAACTCATAAGAATGCACAAGTCCTCAGATATTACAGGTTGGCACCATGATTCTGCAAGGTAAAACAGGAAGGTAAATTATTTTTAATAGTATATTCCTGAAAATAGTTTCTGATTTACTTAGAGTGCAGAGATTTGAGGACTTACAATGGAGAGGACAAAATTAAATAAATTCTGGAATCCAACATTCCAGACTTTAGAATTTCTTTCTGCTTTGATATAGACATATTTAGATAAAGTTAGTTCATTACTGGGATCCCTGGGTGAGACCTAGAGACTAGCAGGAATTAACCTCAAGTCTCCTGTCACGAAGTAAGGGAAGAGAGGTGCTTGCAGGAAAAGAGCAGATTTAAAAACATACATTATCCTGGAAGCTTCTCTCATCAGGGCTCTGGGACCCAACGAGGGCCGTCTGTTTTGAAGACTCTGAAGTCCTCAAAAAACTCTAAAGGGTTTTGGTTTTAGTTTGTTGGGATGTTTCAAGTAATAGAGGATGCTAGGCACTGAAGAGTACTTATTACACAAGAACAAAAAATGTTTAAACCTCTCAGTGACTATTTAGCTCTCTTCTCTTCTCTCGCCTGCCATCAACCCAGCCCTCTGCTCTCTTCTTATAAACAATCCATTAAAGCAGAGAAATCAGAGGAAGTGTCATTGTTCCAGATTATTTGCTTTTGTATTCAGAGCACAAAGCACTGCTTCTGTGGACCATTCTCTGTTCTAGAAATAGCTTTATTTCATAGAATTCTATGTGCCAAAATTAATGGTAATGGAGTCTTCCTGTATTCACTCTACTGCTAGAGTGAAATGATGATAATATAGAAAAACAGGATGTTGATTTACTGAATACTACAATGCATTTTACAATACGCAGTTTTAGAAATATAAACTGAGTGACTTTAATCTCTCTTGAATTTATGGTTACCACTGGGATATTCAAATGTGATTATGATAAAAATAAGCCACCTCAAATTCTTTGTGGAATAAAGTGGGCTATTACTGAATATACTGATACATTTAATTTATGGAAAAATAAAACTTACCTGAGACCACATCATCTAAGTTACCATAAATTGGTATGTCTTCAAGAAAATATTCATCATCCCTATAACAAGGAAAATAATTTATATTATTAAAATCCACTTTACATATAGTTCAGAATTCCTCAGCTGAATCTGATACTGGATGAACTATTGCCTGCTCTTGTTCAGACACAACCAATATCAGCCAAGGGAGGTGTTTGTGTGTGAGTGAGGACACGTGTGGGTGGGGTGGGTGTGAGTATGTGTGTAGGCGTGTGCATGTGTCAACTTAAAACATTGTTTTGGACCTTCTTTTAGTTCGTACTGATGGCAAATACTTATTCAGTACTTCCTGCGTGTCAGGTGCTGCTTGAAGTGCATTTCATGTATTTGTTCATTTAATCCTCACAGTAACCCCACCTGGTAGGCACTCCACCATCCCATCTTACAGGTAAGGAATGTGAGGCATAGCAAGGTTAAGAAACTTGTTCTAGGTCAGGAGACTAGTAAATGATAGAGCTGGGATTAGAACCTAGATTATCTGTGCTCTTAGGGTCAGATCAACTCGACAGTAATGGATTTGGTTTTTTGGGTTCTTAGTTATAGATTCTCTCTTTACTTACCCAGAGCACCATTTTGAACACTACCTTAAAACTATATTTACTAAATAAATATAAATGGACAGTGATGATAAGAAATAAAAGACTAAACAAATATTGCAGATTTAGCTCAGCAGATGCAATGAAATTATTGATCACCTATTAGGCCCTGTGGCTGTGCTAGTGTTTCACGTGCATTGTATCAAAGGCCCAGGGAAATACCGCAAAAATAGTATTATTATTTCCCACTTTACAGGTGGAAGGCTGAGAGTCAGATAGATTGATTTATTTTCCCTAGCCTTATATGTAATGAAAATATCAGTAATAACTATCACATGTGAAACCTTTGCTCTTACCAGGCTCACCACTAAGTGCTCATTCAGCCCTCAGAACAACCTATGAGATGCATATTCTTATTTCCATTGTGCAGATAAGGAATTTGCAACTCATAGAGGTTAATTAAAGTGTCCAAAGATGTACAGCCTTCAATTGGGACTATGAGTCAGAATCGACTTGACGGCACACAACAACAATAGCAGTTTAATGCAAGTCTGCCCTAAAGCTCTGAGCTCTGTCCACAACACCAGGAAGCCCTGCAGAAGGTGACCCATTCAAGGGCTGTAGGGACAGTCTAGGCCCCCGCTGCAATCAGGAGAGCTGACAGGAATATACGGCTATTTGTTCTCACTATTTGATTAAATTTATTTATAGCCTCATTTTAGTAATCCTATTAGGATTACACTAGACATCCTACCATTGTCACCAGACAGTTATAATGGCCCCAGTGACCAGCTTTTGTGACTAAGAACAGAGAAAAATATCAGGCAGTGAGAGTGGCATTTCATAAAATAGAACTTGCTGCTGTAAGTCTGAGGTTACATAGCACCAGCAGCAAAAGGGAACCGCACTGAAAGAAAGGACTCTTAGGGCATAACACCTGTATCACTCCCCATGCTGTGAAAGACAACACAGTATATGTAAGTAGGTGTCCTCAAAAAAAAAGTAACAGATCAAATGATACCTGTATGGAATGGTTTGAAAATTCCAGACACTGGCATGTATTTCGCTTATCTGGTAACAAAGGAACTCATCTGTAAACTTTTTTTTCCATCATAATTCAATACAGCTTAATACTGGGATACAGAGTTGTCCCTTCCCAGAGTTTTTCTCTAGTTATGCAGATAATATAATAGCAAAAGGTGAAAAATTCTTAATAAGTCAATCCATCCATTTTCCCAGCCCATATAGATACCAGGTACAATTTACAAATGATAAATCATGTCCATAAAATGAACATCATTTCTTTCCCTATGAATGAAAACAAGAGTGATTTATAATGCTGTGCCCTATGTGTACAGGCAGGTCTCAAATGATTAATCATCTCGCATAAACTATTATTCAGGAGCTGTTGCCTAACCAACAAATTAAAAAATATACTTTGTCTTAGCAGTGCCAAATAGCTCCAGTCTATTGCAAATATCTAGTTCACTTCAAGTGTAAATATTTGGCAGCGTTTTATTTAGAAGATTAATTACTTTAATGAATAAATGAGCCCATATCTGAGAATCTAGTATACTTTGAGTTTTAGGCCCAACAAGACCCTGCATTGCTCTGAACATGTCTGAAACGGTGTCTTAGTTTCCAAGTGCTGCTACAATAGAAGTACCACAAGTTGGTGGCTTTAATGAATAGAAACTCATTTTTTCACAGGTTAGGAGGCTAGGAGTCTGTATTCAGGCACTAGGTCTAGGGGAAGTCTTTCTCTGTCAGCTCAGGGGGAAGGTCCCTGTCTCTTTTTTTCCTCCCCCTTAGAGGTCAGCAGTTCAAATCCACCTGCTGCTCCTTGGCAGCCCTATGGGGCAGTTCCATTCTCAGTTTAACTCAATGGCAATGGGTTTTCTGAGTGGTGCAATGGTTAAGAGCTGGGCTGCTAACAAAAATGTCACTGGTTGGAACCCACCAGTGGCTCCGTGGGAGAAAAGACCTGGCAATCTGCTACCTTAAAGATTACAGCCTAGTAAATCCCATGGCACAGTCCTACTCTGTCCTATAGGGTCACTATGAGTCAGAATCAACTCAACGTCTTGATGGCACACAATACACTGATACAGCCTCATTAATGTAACAAAGAAAACCCGATTCCCAAATGGGATTCATTCATAGGTATAGGGGTTAGGATTTACAACACACATTTTGGGGGGACACAATTCAATCCATAACAAATGGTCTTCTAATCAATAAGTACATTTACTGACACACCAGAATTGAAAATAATATTAACTATAGCATTTACTAGTAGAGTCCTAATTTTCTAAAACCAAAAAACCCATTGCCATCAAGTCAATTGCAACTCATAGTGCCCCTGTAGGACAAAGTAGAACTGCCCCATAGGGTTTCCAAGGAGCTGCTGGTGCATTCAAACTGTCGACCTTTTGGTTAACAGCCGAGCTCTTAACCACTGCACCACCAGGGCTCCCTAATTTATATTTTCTCCAGAGCCTATCTTAAAATTTTAATTTATATTTTATGATAAATTCCTTTTAAAAAAATTCCTCAAGTACTTCATAATCTAAATAGATTTGAGCAAGTAAATTTAACTTTTAAAAATATCATTACTTCTACCTGGATGATCTGGACTTAAATTCTGCCTTTCAGTTTTCTTTAAAACAAGGATATAAAACTATTTGATGTTAAATATAAAAAGGATATAAAAGTATTTGATTCCAACTGCCAAATTCTATAACTATAGAGTCACAATATCTAAATAAAAATAAAACACGGAAAGATATTTCTAAAACAAATAAATAATGCTATTTTAAAGGACTGGAAAGTTGTCAGATGAGGAAAGAGCAAGCTTAGAGGTCTATTAGAAGTTGGTTTTGGTAAATGTTAACTTGATTTGTTTAATAGACATTTCTTTGAATGGGAAGATATATAAATTTGGGCTCCATCAGCATGTAAATATTACTGAAAGCCACGAGAGAGGCTGAAATGACTTATGGAATGAGTATTGATAGAGAAAAAAGGAGGTTCACTAGACGAGCCCTCTAATGTTTAATGTTCAGGAGCCACGACGGAAAAGGAGCTGCTGGGAGACAGGAGGAAAACCAAAGAGGGGAACAGCCTGGAAGGCCAGAGAAGGAAGTGAGTCCGGTAGAGAGTGACAACGTATCAAACGCTATGGGTGGACTGAGTAAGATAAGACCATGAACTGCTCGGGCGGAGTTCACTGGTGATCTTGACAAGAGCTGAGCCTGTGGATTAATGAAGACAGCAGATTAAATAGAATGGTTTCAAGAAATAAGAGGGGAAGAGAATGAGAAGCCAACAAATACTGATGGAATGTAGATGGACCTTTCAAGTTTTGATATAAACGAGTGCAGAGAATAGCTGTAGGGCAATCTAGAATCAAGGACGCATTCTTTTGAGGTAGGGGATAATACAGTATATGTTGATGGAAAAGATACAAAAGAAACAGAAAAAGCAATGACCCAGGAAAGAAAAGAGAAAGTTGCTAGAGCGATGTGTCCTTGAGTATACACTTACTGTTTGCTGTTTTTTTCAGGGACTGTGACATGGGTGCAGATGTGTTGAACTTAGCATGGGAGAACACTACAGATAGAACCCTGTTCCAGGGCAAGAGAATAAACTCCAGCTGTATTTTGTGTGGCTGGAGGCTAAGAGACTCTAGCGAAGAGGATGGTTAATGAACTTTTATAGCAAGAGTATCTAACACTAAATTTGCATTCTCTTGATCAGTATTCAAATTCCCCTCTACTATGCCCAATTTCTCATAGAGTCTGTTGAACACAATGGACTTATATTGACTGTGCTTTGGAGCACTTAGAAAGGAGGATACTTTGCCAAACTTTTTGCAAAAATTTGCAAAAGAACTGCTGACGTGGAGAATTTTGGAAGAGATGGGGAAAGAACCTTAAAGCAGTGATATGAGCTAGACGTTATAAGAAACAACCAAGAATACGATTTTTGGAATGCTGAGCACTTCCCAGGGATTGTGAGAAATACTTGAGAAGGGAACTGGACTTCTTGTAGTCACAGAGGGCCCAGGTTCTGGTTATCTTTATATTAAAATAAACAGAAGTGTAGAAACCTTAGAGACAATTACATTAAGTGTGGCAGTGGCTATGGTGAGGGCCTCGTCTGCATACCCACTGGAAGTCTGAGATGCCCGGGAAGACTATCTGGTGGTTCTGTTGTCATAAGGATGCCTGAGCACATGGAGAACAGCTGGAGAGGACAGCGGAATAAAGGCCTGCTCCAGAGCATAAGATAAGTCTGTTTAGCAAAGATGAGAAGAGAAAAGGGCCCCCACCCTGCAGAGCTGTCTAGAAATCAAAGAAATCAGCCTGAGGCAGGGGAATAGCTGAACTGAGGTATACTTTGTGACAAAAGCACATTTGAGTGCCACACAGGGGCAGACCATGCAAAAGCTGCTGGGGATTTGTCTTAAGCTTTTTGAGAAA